CTGATATTGTGTTTTGGTATAGACCGCTTGGAAAAATTTTCTTTTTTTATGAAAAGATAGAGCGTCTTTCGCTGCATCTTTCTATGCTATTTGATCAGTATTAAACTTATATCATAATAATAAAATTTCGATAAGAACTATTTTTGTTGAAAACCAGTTGTGGTAGCATTTAGATCATAATGGATGTGGTATTTTTGCATTCCACTTTATTATCACATAATATGTTGTGTTGAAAAAACAAAATATACCAAAAGGTGCAGCGTGAAAAGCTCTACGATTTATAAAGTACCGCTTATTTTATAGTTGTACTTTTTGTTTTAAAAATGAACAAAACTTCGAGCTAACAAATTTCGACGTTGCGAAAACGAGATTGTTTTTTTGGTAAAGGATAAATTCCGTTTTTTCTATCTCATTTTTTTATTAATTAATATGTTTTATTTTAAAAAGCAAAATACACTGCAAGATGCAGAGTGAAGAGCTCTACAATTTACAAAGAACAATGACACAAAAATAAGATAGAAAAAAACCGAATTCGCTTTTTTATCCAAAAAACAGTCTCGTTTCCATCATGTCGAAACTTGGTAACTCAGAGTTTTGTCCATTTTTAAAACAAAAAGTACAACTATAAAATAAGCGGTACTTTATAAATCGTAGAGCTTTTCACGCTGCATCTTCTGATATATTTTGTTTTTTTTTAATACAACGTATTGAGTGATAATAAAATGAAATGCAAAAGTGTCTCATTTTTTATGCCACACTCCTTATGATCTAAATGCTACCAACTGGTTTTCAACAAAAATAGTTCTTATCGAAATTTTATTATTATGATATAAGTTTAATACTGATCAAATAGCATAGAAAGATGCAGCGAAAGACGCTCTATCTTTTCATAAAAAAGAAAATTTTTCCAAGCGGTCTATACCAAAACACAATATCAGGCTCACTACTTTTGGATAACCCTAAGTAGTTGGCGGTGAGACTAAAAAAGACTCTCTTTTGATCAAATAATATTCGTCAAAAATCTATCGTTCATACTTGTTACTCATACCTGAATCTCAATTGAAATGACCATGAGCATGTGGTGCAGCCCTTTATCTAGTAGGGCATGAGACTGAAAAAGACTCTTTTTTGATCAAATAATACTCGTCAGAAATCTATCGTTCATACTTGTTACTCCTACCTAAGTCTCAATTAAAATGACCACGAGCATGTAGTGCAGCCCTTTATATAGTAGGGCATGAGACTGAAAAAGACTCTTTTTTTGATCAAATAATACTCGTCAAAAATCTATCGTTCATACTTGTTACTCCTACCCAGAGATGGGCAAGTCAGCGATTTTTTGACTCAAGTCAAGTCAAGTCAAGTCAGAGTCGCTTTAAGTCAAGTCACAAGTCAAGTCAAGTCATTTCTTAAAAATTCCAAGTCAAGTCAAGTCAAGTCGGAGCTACTTTGAGTCAAGTCACAAGTCAAAATTCAAGTCAAGTCAAGTCAAGTTGGAGTTCAACCCCGATTTTCACTGTGTTTTCTTTAAATGAAGACAAATTATCGAAAACATTCTTTCCTTGATCCATATTATAGTTGTACTCTCGTTTGCTAAATTATTTATTAATTTAATTATTATAAAAACAAAGAAAACAACGTATTTCCGTTAAACAGATTTTTGGGAAATGAAATGTCCGATAAAAATTGAGAAAAAAGATTTTCTACGTATTTCAACAGCCATCATCTTATTTCAGACGAATTCACTCTGTGAACATATTTGCTGATCTTCATTTCGATTTTTCCACTACATTTCAGTTAAAAAACCGAAATTGAAGCGAATAAAATCCCTTTAGATATATACATGTTTAGACTTGACTTGACTTTTTTATATACGGCCAAGTCACAAGTCAAGTCAAGTCATTCTGAAAAATTTCAAGTCAAGTCAAGTCAAGTCATAATTCGTTCAAAAAATCTTCAAGTCAAGTCAAGTCAAGTCAGACTTGACTTGACTTGGCTTGATTCAAGTCATTTTTTGACTTGACTTGCCCATCTCTGCTCCTACCTAAGTCTCAATTAAAATGACCACGAGCATGTAGTGCAGCCCTTTATATAGTAGGGCATGAGACTGAAAAAGACTCTTTTTTGATCAAATAATACTCGTCAAAAATCTATCGTTCATACTTGTTACTCATACCTGAATCTCAATTAAAATGACCGCGAGCACATGGTGCAGGCCTTTATATAGTAGGGCATGAGACTGAAAAAGACTAAAAAGACTCTTTTTTGAACAAATAATACTCGTCAAATTCACTTGCTCAAAATTGCGATTCTTGTTTATTATTTAAAAGTGAAAATAATGAAATTAGTTGTGGTTTTATAGTGGCCATTGTGTGTCATTCAATCAAAGAATATCGTCTGGTCATCCATGAGGTTTATATGAATCGTCAGGACTCTCTTACCTTTAAGGGTAAACGTATTATCAATCCATTCATTTTTTGGGGATATTCAACAGATCCTCCTCAATTAGTGGTAATACCTCCCGAACATATTATTGTGAAGCTTGCATATAAAAAAGAAAATGATCTGTTTCATTTTTTCAGTTTCGTAATACGGTAGAAAGTATCTAAATAAAATATTTTTTTATTCATATTCTACTGAGAAGAATAGTACTCGTGTTTTAAGATGTGAATCAAATGTTCTTCATCTGCAATTCTTTCTAATGAATCAATTGAAGAGTATATAAAATAATAACTGGTTAGTATGTGAGAAAAGTGACTTATTGAAATGGATCAATAAATATATAGACAATGTAGTCACAATCTTTTGCTCGGCATAATCGTGTTAGTGGCGTAAGCAGGAGATCGTGGGTAGTAGGGCAGTGTCTTACGATCTTGGGAAATTCTCAGCTTCTATTGGTAAAAATTTTTCACTGTAAATTTGGATATCTAAATTTTTTTCCGCAAAAATTGAAGTTTTTTTATTGAAAATTTAGAGAAAAAATTCTTATATACAATCAGTCTTGATAGGGTAAATACTTTTTTCTTGTCAATGATTATTAGCCATATCTAGTTTTACATTTATTTGTTTTTCTATTATCACGACATAATATTTAGTGTTGAAATAACAACATCAAATATAGGGGAAGGAAAATACTATGAAAAGGATGGTTTTTTTCTATTTATTGAGTACACTGCGACCATATTTAGTATTACCAAAATGTTATTGTTGTTGAAATAGTGTTGGACCATTAAGAAAATGTCTAAAATCACGTTTATTAAGACGTTCGTGTTGTGTTTGTTCAATATCATTATTTGTATCATCTAATGATAATGGATAAGATTGAAAATATATTCTCGACAAAAAGTTATAAGGAATAGCTTGTTATTGATCAATACGAATAATTAAAATTAATAATAAATAAATGAATACTGCTATATATTTCATTATATGTTGTTGTATATTACTCGAACGTTAGATAAAAAAAAATAAAATTTATTTTAGTAATCTAAAACAAGTTAATTCTTTTAAATGATGAATGAAAGAATAAACTTTCTTTTGTTGTCAATATTTAAATAATTTTTCCTACAGAAGAAAAAATTAAACATCATAGAGGAAGAATTTAACGTTAGCTATATAATATTAATAAAAAGTTTAAATATCAAATTTATTTAGGATTGTCTCATTAGTAACCGGACTTATCATTATGATATCTTTTCTGAGTGTGTGTTTTACAACATTTGACAACATTGAAGATTTTATATTTATAAAAGCAGAAACTTATTTTTTTTTATAGATAACTTTATTTTACTTACTTGAGACAGTCAATAAACTCTATGAAGGTATTTCTATAAGTCATTTTGAAGAGGATTTTATATGTTTAGATATATGTGAAATTAATTTACAGCATTTTTTTAACGTAGAATAAATTTTTAAAAAGAATCTTAACGAGAGAACATTCCTTATTGTTGAACACCCAGCGAATTTATAGTTTGTCGCTATGTAGGATTCAGTGAGACTAGTAGAAGCCAAAAAAAAGGATTTGTGTCAGTACCTTGCTCTTTCAAGGTTAGGATCATTTTACTGAATTTTCGGTCGTAGAGGCAAGTCAAAGATCGAATGGTATAGATTGGTGTTTATTAAATTCTTCTTACAGTACGATTTCTTTTTTCGAGATAATGAATCATCAAAAGAGTGGGTGTTCTGATTTTTATCCGAACGTTATGAAAGTTTCTTGATTGTTTAATATCTCGAGAAGGAATCGTACTGTCAGAATAATTTAATAAACATCATATTTATACTTGGATAGGCGTGGCACTTTCACTTTCACAAAGAAAAAGAAAGAAAATTTTTTGCATTTCCTTTCTTTTTAAGGAAAGGAAAGTTGTAACCTTTCATATTGTTAGAATTTGACAGTATCTGTCTTATCAATTACAAGTAGAATAAAACAATCATTATAATAACAATAGGCCTAATGAATCTTTGTAAGGTTTTCTCATTGTTTCTTACAATAAGAAAAAAAAAATTAAGCGTTATTTCTGAGTTCAGACCTCGACTAAGTGTTTGATGTTTATCAATAAAAGAAAATTTTTTTTTCTTTTTTGTCTCAAGTGCTTTGTATAAATTTCATGCAAATTCAAAATATTTAACAATTTTTTCAAAGTTTTAAATGAGATGTTATATGTTCATATATGATGTATATACACTATGTAATTAGTCTAACTATCGAACGAGAAAATTACGACACATGGATGAGTTTATACTGTCCTTTGCATAATAGAAACTATGTCTGGAGAAGTTGAATAGCTCTGAAATGCAAGTAGTTGACGATCTACGGTTTTGTAACATCTCCTTATTATAGAGAGTCGAAAGAGTCAAAAATTACTTGTTTTACTAATCTTTGTCTGTCGATCTTCGACATATCTGGAGAAGAAAACAAACGTTACCGCGAGATCCAACATGAGCAACAACTTATTTGTTCTTGCAAATCAGAGTTAAAAAAGAACGGCCTTTGAAGATCCGAACGCGTGAAATCCAGCACTCGGAAGAGAAAACAAAAACAACTACGATTTGTGGAGCAGATTCTGGATTACAAGATAGATGAATTTGAGTAAGAATTAAAATTTTCTTGATCAGAAAACAATGGATCAAGTTATGCTGGACACTACAAAAAAAAACAATGCCATAGTTGTTCAAGGATGAAGCTTTGACTGCTATTGTATTACTATTTATATTGAAACATGAGATATTATCAATTTCCCTTTTTTTCAACTTTCGAGATCTTGAAAATAATT